TATCAGAGAGGAACCATAAGTCTGTAGATTCTATAAAGGAAATTTGTATCTGGTATGTTTATCAGAAGCCTTGTCTTTTCTTTTTTTTCTTTCATAGTTTTTTTTATATTTTCATTTTATCTTACAATCTGACCATTTGATGATTAACCTAAATCAATCTGATTGTCTTTATAAAGGAAAGTTTTCACTCTGAGAAGCATGTGAATAATGGAAACTGAAGTGTTTTGATAAGATTTCTAAAGTATTGAGTTTATATTAACCCATTCGCGCCGGGTAAATATGAACAAAAAATGGGGGAAAATGCTGTGCTCATTTTTTATACGTTTTGTGAAATTTCTCTACACTAGATGGCTCTGCCTTACCGGATTTCATTTGGCGGGAAAATGTATTTTTACTAGTACTATAAATATCGATGGTTATTTTTATTATAAACATTATAATTACTATAATGTTATTAACAGCAAAATAGATAACGTATAGTTTTGTCGTAAATTAAAGAAAAGGGTAAACAGGCGAGACATGCAGTACAAGTACAAGTGCAGCCATCTATGTGTAAAAACAATTCAACAAGTAAACTCACCGTGGGCCCGTCACATATACGTGACACCCGGCGTGAATGGGTTAAGAAAAAGTTTACCATACAGAGAGCATGCATGTCAGAGGCAAAAAGACCGATTTAATTTTGATAATTAAATTGCATTCCTTCTTAATAAAATCAGTTTAATAAACTGTTAATATATAAAAACTAACTGAAAACTCAAACTGACCAATGTCTTGAGAATGTTTTAATGATGATTATTATTCTTGAAGTTGTTATTGATAGTCTTATAATTTTTGTTACTATTGTTTTATTAGTCTATAATTAAAGATATTGTTATTGATTTTTTTTATTTTTTATTATTACTATTATTATTTATCTCTTTATTTATTTATTTTTGTGTGTGTGTTTATATAGGGTTATTATTGCTATTTTTGTTGCCTTGTATGTTATTTCATTATGAGTATTTTTCTTATTGTATAATCTCTATAATCATGGAGGTAACCTCATTATTTTTTGCATTATTACTTTGTCATTGTTTTTATTGTTTTAGATATATATGTATAGAGGCGTGGTTTGAAAATAATTGATTGGCATAATATATCTCTTCTACGTCTTCTTTTACTCTTATTCTAGATAATGAACCTATTAACGCAATATAAAATTAGCAGTAGTGGGATTCAGTCATAAGTCTAGCTTGTAACAATATTGCAGAAAAAAAAAAGACACCAATGCATAACACAGCCGTGAACATTACTGGCACATATATGTATGTTCTCCTTAATTATGTCTTTTCCTCTTTTTGTTTCAAGTTTTTGATCATCAAATCCAACCTGTATGTCCTATGTAAATGTAAAGAATTTTATATATATACATATCGATGTGTATATATATCTACGTACTGTATAGCGAGTTGCGTGGGGTGATCCATGTGGTTGTATAGTTGGAGCTTTCTGCGGTTCTCTTTGTCACTCCTTATAGACGTGGAGTCCCTTGTCAGTTTTATTTTGTTGTGCCAGTGATGATAAACCTTACACCCACACATACTGAACGCTGCCTCACTCACGCAGTGGAGATCTCACCGCTACTCATGCTGTTGGCTTGCTCTCATTTTCCTGTTTCTTTTTCCTTTTTTTTTTTCAATCTTTTCTCTCTTTCTCTTCCCCTCTTTCTTTATTTCTTCCTCACTCTTTCTCATTTCCTCTCTCTCTCTCTTTCTCTTTCCTACTTTTTTTCTTTCCTCCTCTTTTTTTCTTCCCCTCTTTCTCTCATTATCCCTTTTCTCCCTCTTTCTCTCACTTTCCTTGTCTTTCTCTCTTTCCCTTTTCTTAATCTCTCCCTCTCTCCCTCCTCCCATTTCTGTATTTCCCTCACTACATATATATCTTTGACACAAATTTTTTTGAATGATTACTCACACTTATCACTGATGATAACTAAGAAAAGTAAAATTGATAATTTTAACATTTTTATTGTATCTTTTTTGTAATAAGTTCATATAAGGAGTATAAGTGTAAGAAGTATGTAATATACGTTTACTTTTTTTTCAACTACACAAAAGTATTGATTTTTTACAAATATTTTTTTTTTATTTATATGTTAACACATGGAATTCTTAAAAGTATTACTGTTTACACAGGTTGTGCTTGTGATTTGGAAGAATGGCGTTGCCCAACTGTTGGTCATGCAGCAAGTATGCAGTATGTGCCAAATATGCTTGATGATCCTGAGTTACGGGCTGGCAAGCATCGCAAATTGCTGCGGTTTCCATCCTATATGGTATGTCACAATTGTTAATTCTAAAGTTGATTTAAATAATTGTTTGTAATTTGGATTACAGTTTTTATCTATAGGGTGACTTGAAGGTCTAACTTTTTCTGTTGTTTCAGACATCTGTTATGGATTATACTAAACCTTCAGAATTGAAAAAGGAGTTAAATGACAAGTTCCGTGGAAAATTTCCTCATATACAGTTGACTTTAAGTAAATTACGAAGGTAAGGGAGTTTAACTTTTTACTTGTGCTTCTTGTTAGTTTTAATGATTTTATCAGCAAAAAGTGCTGTATATTTTGTCATGTTAGTGACTGGTAAGTGAAGCTTGTTAAGAATTGATTATAAGAGGACAAAGATTTTCCATTTATAAAGCATGATTGATAATATCTAAAATGTGGTTTCCAGTTTAAAACGTGAAATGCTGAAGATTGCCAGGCAAGACTGTGACATAGACCTCCTCACAGTGGCACAAGCTTATGTTTACTTTGAGAGGCTCATACTCAAGACCATTGTAAACAAGCAGAATCGGAAGTTGATCGCTGGTGCCTGTCTCATCCTCTCGGCCAAGATGAATGATGTCAAAGGAGAGACTTTGAGTAATCTCATTGAGGTAGCTTTATTATCAGTATTATTAATGTTTTTCTTATCATCATCATCCTCATCTTCATCTTCATTTTCATCTTCATTATCTTCATCATCATCAAGATTAGCATTGTCATTGTCATTATTTTTTATTTATTTATTCATTTGCTTATTTACTTATTTTGTTACCATTACTACTTTATTAGGTGAAGTAATTAAAGTATCAAGGTTTCATTTACTTTGGGGTTCGTGGAATTAACTTGGTAATTTGCTAAAATTGTTTTGCATTGCATCACTTATCATCGTAATTATATTAATTATTTTGAATATAATCTTAATCTTGAATATCTGCGTAGACTTTTCCCTTGCTGTTCGGTGACCACTCGCATTCATTCTCTTACACTTCCCTTTCCAGAAAACGGAGAGCACCTTCAGGCTGAACCGGCGAGACCTCACCCAGTGGGAATTTGCAGCCCTAGTGGCCCTCGAATTTGGGCTCCACCTCCCCACCTGGCATGTGAATCCACACTATCAACGGCTGCTGTTTGAGTCCTGACGAAAACACCGAGACGTCAATTATTCGCATACCTTGTGATGATCTGCTAGAAAGTGTCGTACCGTTAGTGGGTGGTGGAAAAACTATGGCTTGGCTTCTTATAGCACTTGAAGGTATATAGTTTTTTGGGATTTATTTGCTCCTGTTGTTTCCCTTTCTTTTTTTTTTTCTTTTTCTTTTTTTTACTGTGAGTGTAGGCTAGTTAATGGTAGCAGAGAGTAAGTTGTTTTTATGTTGATAATAATATGATAATTATTATTTTTATCCTTGCTGATGTTCGTGATATTCTTATTATTATTGTTATTGTTATTATTATTATTATTATTATTATTATTATTATATTTTTATTATTATTTTGTTGTTATTATCATTATTATTTTTTTTATTCTTATTCTTATTATTAATGTTCTGATTAGCTTCATATTATATTTATGATTATTACACCATTTCTTATGTCATTATGATTGTTATTCTCATTTTGAACTTTTTTATTGTAATTCTTTCCAGTTATTATGTTAATGTTCTCATGATAATTGTCAGCATCTGTATCATTTATTAGTATTGTTCTATTTATTCCCAAGGAAGACTGAAAGAAAAATTACTCAAGTTTTAATCCAGCATGAAGAATATTCATGTGTGTGGAGGCATTTTGTTTACTATATGCTTAGGCAATGTTAGTCTAAAATGCAGATTAATTAGAGTGTGAACTATTGTCCTCTGATTTATCTGCATGCAGTTTCTAGCTGCCGTTAATTTACTGGAAAAATGTAAATGCAATACAAGAAGCCATTTTTACAAGCTCAGTTTTGCTGCTTGCCGATGAAGCCATAATGATCTCTTCAAGGGATAATCATCATTTTAAAAAATATTTAAAGGCATTTAGCATTAGTTTGCCTGAGATCCATCAAGACATGGTCTACTGATGAGTGTAATGGTAGTGAAGATAATTTTCATCCCTTGCAATTATAGTATTTACATTCCTAAATGTGCAGGTCAGATTTTGTGCTGTCAATCTCATGTTACCATTATGTATAGCCAGTAAAACTTAACAATCAAAAGAGTAACAATCTGCGTTGTTGATAGGAAGACTTCTCTCAAAATGTAGCAAACAATCACAATTTCAGCAGCGGGGGTATTCTAAGCATGTTAAAAGGGGGATCTCTTGAGGCGCTTTCATTTGCTTTTCCGTGATGGGATGTTCTTTCTTCTGCTGGAAAGTGGGGGTGGTATGAGGCTTAAAGTTTACAGCTACTGAATAATACATTTAAGGATATTTTTGTATTATGGCTGTTTAACCAGCTGTGTTGTGTTTTGAATTAAGATTTTGCTGTGATTATAATAATACAAGTAGATCTGCTGGTAAGATGTAATTATATTTTTCGAAGATTGAATTCTTTAGCCAGCACTATATAGCTCAGAAGAGCTTCAAACAAATTAGATTGGATATATATATTTTCAAGGGATGTAAACTTAATTTTACTAAAGGTGTCAGGCAGGGCCTTCAAGCAGCAGAAATAGGATTTGGGTAGTAAGAATTTGATGCGCTTTATAAGTGCATATTATAGATATTCTATGAAAGTCCATGTCTGCTGTGCTGCTAGGTACGAGGGTTTTTATTTAATTGTAAAAAGATATTTTTGAAAAAATGTATATAGGTTTCTCCACTGGTGTAAATGAGGGATATTTTCAGTTATCAGTGTTGCCTGTTCAGGAAAATGGAAGCTGTAAAATGAAACATGAAATGTTCTATCTTCTTGATTTCAAACATGATAACTGAACTTGAACATCACATGAAGGTTGTCTATATATAATTTGGAAGAATCTTTGCAGTCGTTGAATAATGGGTTTGGTCGTTCCAGTATGGTATGTTGACTGAATGAATTAGCTTTTCCTTCTAATTTTATGTGAGAATATGGCAGTTATATTGTGTATCACTCCATTGGTATTTATTACTTATTTTTTATTGTTTCTCATTGAATGCAAGAACACATTTCTTGAATAGATTTCATTTGCAAGCTTCTCATCATGAAAAGTTAACTCATTCACTGTATTCTGTGTCTTTGTATTTATCTGCATTAACTGCGGTCACACTTAAGTGATTGGCGTTAACTTTTTGAGTGGAATGCTAAATATTGTGTAATGAACTGCTAGCAACTTCTGTTATTAACTGTATGAACAGAATGGAATATGGTATGTATATGTATATTCATGCATTAATTTTTTATGGCACTGCTGTATTTATTATTCTGTATTTTTGTCATATATATATAATATAAAGATATATTAGACTTAATAGTTGTGTACAACTCACAGCTTTTTTCCTCAATATTTTATACTTCTTGTCTATATCAGGACCTTGCATTTATGAAAGTTGTACCTAACAAATAGTACAACTTGGGATGACGATTTTCCTTTTGACAAAATATCATTCTGCTTGTTATTTTTTATTGAACAGTTTTATGCATTGAAATGTACAAGATAACAAAAAGCGTCAGTATGTTAAAAATGCTTCAGTATATATTTTGCATTTTGTGAAGCTGCCGTAGTAATTTGGTAATAATTTTTGGTCACTTTCAGTACTGCTTGAGCTACAGATTAAAATAGATAGTATAAGAAGATAGATAGGTATAAGAGTAAAAGCAAGCCACCCTTTCATTTCTATAGATATGTGCACAGAAGTATAGCTGTTTTATTGAAGGCAGGTTGGAAGCCATAGAAGTTGTTTCTCAAGCAATACAAGGACATTGCACTGCCAATTGCATCATTGATATATTTTTTTGTGTTGTACCATTATGGCTGATAACTCCTCTTCAAGAAAACAGGTTATTTCACCCTAATCTGCGGTTTAATGTAAAAGAAGTCTTATTTTCGTACTGAGTAACTAGATGTCTGTCACTTGTTGTATAATGATGTTTGGCTTGTAACTAGGGTGATATATGCAATGTAATTCAAATGGAACTCTTTCATTATTTTTTTTTTCCACGTAAATATCCAAGGTTGAAAGAGTAAAAGAGTTTTTTTTTTTTTTTTTTTTTTTTTTTTTTTTTTTATTGTCACCCTTTGTATATGGTAGACACATTAAGTAGAAAATGGTCATGGTATATGTGCTGTATTAATGTTATGGAACCTTTTTTCCCCAAGGAGTGATATAAGATAGTAAAGAAGTTTTACTTGAATTATTATGCTACTTAGTACCATGTGTTGTTCTAAAGGCAACTTCATGTTTCTAGTCTTTATTAGTCTATTCAAATTGGTGTTTAGTGTGACTCCAAGAAGTGAGGCTGTATTTAAGTGCATAGAAAGTATAAGTATTATCCTGTTTTTGTTCTTTATTTGTTGTAATTGTTGAAATTAAGAATTCTAATTTAGTTCCCAAGAATGTTGTGTAAATGGGTAGATAGGTCTGGACTTTATCTATACCTTTGTAGATTTTTCTGAAGAAGAAGGTATGAATTTCACTGAGGTAGTGAGGTAGTCCCAGCCTTGTGGTACCCTTTGTCATGAGGGGGATTCATGGTACAGACGTGTTTGATTTTTGTTTTTGTCTTTTTTTTTGTGATATTTCCTGTTGCTGTAGTATTAAGTGTCCTCTGTAAAAGATAGGTTTGGTCTTGCATCTTTTTCTTCCAGTTTCTTTTCATTCTGCTCCTCCTCTTTCTCCTCATCCTTCACTTCTCTCTTTTCCTCCGCTTCTCTCTTTTTCCTCCTTTTCCTCCTCCTACTCTTTCCTCCTTTTCCTTGTTTTCCTCCTCCTACTCTGTCCTCCTTTTCCTTCTTTTCCTTCTCCTACTCTTTCCTCTTTTTCCTTCTTTTCCTCCTACTCTTTCCTCTTTTTCCTTCTTTTCCTTCACCTAATTCCCCTTTCTCATCCTTTTCTTCCCACTCTGTCACCTTTTCCTCTCCCTCCTCCTCCTCCTTCTCTTCCTCTTCCTCTTCCTCTTGCTCCTCCTCTCCTTCCCACTCCTACTCCTTTTCATCCCCCTCCCCCCTCCTCCCCTCCCCCCCTCCTTTTCCTCCTCATCCTCATCCTTCTCCCCCTCCCCCAGCTCCCTCCTTCCCCCCCCCTCCTCCTCCTCCTCCTCCTCCTCCTCCTCCTCCTCCTCCTCCTCCTCCTCCTCCTCCTCCTCCTCCTCCTCCTCCTCCTCCTCCTCCCCCCCTCCCCCCCCTCCCCCCTCTCCCCTCTCCCCCCTTCTTTCTAGTTTTCTTTGGCCATTTCAGATATGCTTAATGTTTGTCAAGGTATTCTTAAATGATATATAATTGTAAAGATTCTTCACTTTCACAGTTTAGTTGTGAATAGAGAACAGAAATGGTTATACATTTTCTGGCTTACGTGAATCAAAACTTGAACTGAGGAATTCCACGGAGATTCGGATTACTTCAATTGATTTTGACTCAAATATGATGTAATAAGGAAACTAGTTTTTCGTGTAATAGGGAAGCCAATTTTCTGTTCTCTTGGTAAACTTAACAAACCTCCATGTGATTGGATATGATGTACCTGAGTATATTATAACCAAGTGTATATTAATAGGTTGTATATATGACTTTTTTTATGACTAGTTAATTCCTTTTTTTCAGTTTTCTAAGTTTGACCAGAACTTAAAGCACAGGTTTGTAAATTATTGAAGGTACACATGTATGCACTCACAGGCACATGTGCAGTAAAACCTACACACTGACAATATATGAATGCATTAGTATTTACACACCTACATGCACACATATACATGCACTGCATGATATAGACTACAACATGCTCACACACACATACACACTAAAGGTACTACATACGTTACACAGCCACTACATTCAAACATTTGCACATACACATGTAGACACATGGTGCATGTACATGCTCACATACACACACAAACATGTGCATATACACTCACACTCACATTTAAACACATTGTGTATGTGTGTCTGTATGTATGAGGTATTGCTCAGAACAGAAATATTGTGTGTCTGTTGAGCACTGTATTGAGATTTCCTAATTCTCTGTGATAAGAGTGCAATCAGTTTCAATCTGTAATGTGACTGAAGTGCTGCCAAGACAAATATTCAAATCCATTCTTTACTTGTCTTGTTGATGTTGTTGTCATTATTCAGAAAGTATATGATACTAAATCACAGTTTGTAGTTTGATTAACCTTTTGGTTTCTGGCATGTTTCATGTCTTGATTTTATGTTGCCAATTGTAATTGTTTATTATTATATGACTGTCTGTGGTGGGAGATTACTTGGCTTGGTTGTAGTAATTCTGTTGTAGAGTGATGCGGATAGGATAAACCAAATCCTTGGTAATTCAATGACAGTTACTACATCAGAAAGTGCTAATACTTTGTAACACTGTACATTGTATTATGTGTTTTTCAGTCGTATATGTTTCATAAAAGACAAAAAAATGATGCCTTTTGTAGTAGTAGTTGAGTGTTTGTCTCACCTGTGAAAGTAATATGGAATATGATGACCTTATCAGTTACAGGTGATTCAGAACTACAGAGAGGTTGATTTAATGACTGGAATATTGTTTTATGTAAGCGAATCTGTATTTATTAATATTTACTTAAAAAAAAATTGTGTATCTGTATACACTCATGCCCACCTCCCCCTCCACACACATACATCAGAGGTTTGCATATGCATCTAACAACACAACATGAAATCTCCAAACAAGATGAAATGCAGAAGATATCATACAAAGTAATGACTGAAGTGACAGACATTGCATCTGAGCTATATTAATGTAAGAACCAGTCAGATATCTGATGAGTAACATACATTTGGAAAGAATACTATAATAGCATTGACTCCAAACTGTCCTGGCGAGACCATATTCTTTACATTAAAGAAAAAGCTCTCTGCTGTCTTTGAATCTTAAAAACTCTATCCCATATATCATGGGGCTTAGATCGCAAAACTCTCCATCTTAATGTTACCTTGATCCTCTCCAGTCTTGATTATGGATGCCATATCTACTCCTCTGCCTCAACTTCTCTCCTTGCCCATCTCGATACAATCCATCACTGTGGTCTTCGCTTAGCACTAGGCGCCTTCCGCTCCTCTCCAGTTGAGAGCCTGTACACTGAATCTCTATCTCGACGCTGTGCCCTTCTCTCTCTCCAATGTTATGCTCGATTCCACCAACTTTCCCTCACTAAACTAACTATCCCACAATCCCTACTTCCTACCTTTGCTTCTTCTCCACGTTTACCTACTCCTTTCTCCACCCGCATTCCCCTTTCCCCCATCTCCAACCTCTCCCGTTCTCTGTCCATTCTGTCCCTCCATGGCTTATACCTTACCCCCATATTTGCTCCTCTGTTTTCCCTGACCCACCAAAATCAAATATTCCTCCTGCTGTCCTTCTCACCCATTTCCTTGACCATGTCTCCACTCATTCCTCCAGTATTCACGTATATACTGATGGCTCCAAATCCACTTCCGGTGCTGGTTTTGCAGTAATCTTCCCAACTCGTACTTTCAAATACTCCCTCCTGAATCCAGTGTCCTTACTACAGAACTGTATGCACTCCTTTTTGCCCTA